GAACGTTTTTTGATGAAGAAAATAGGGATTATTGCTAAAAAAACGTTTTTAACTTAAAAAAATGAATAAAAAGTGAAAAATTACTTATTACATTGATTTTAAGCAAAAATGACTTTAAACATTCCGGACACTAAGAAAAAAATTCGCAGCGTTTTGAAATTATCAGGGTTTCTTTAGGACACTGACGTTGAAACGTTACAGTGAATATCCTTAGGGCACATACGCACTAAACGGATACCCGTAATGCGGACAGCCGTCCGGTTGACCGCATGTAAAAAAAATGTGTGTTTATTTACGGGGATATATTTTTCTATTCGCACTATGGTGCGGCTGCCCGTAAACCGTTCCCATCGCTTGGAGACCTGCGGCCCCTCCATCGGTCAGCCGCACTGTTAACTATTCACACTGTGCGTTCAGTTTGCGGGTCGCCATCGTGACTGACTGGTCTTGTCATTTGCGAGAAGGAGCGATGATACATGAACTGTGTTTTTTTTAAATACACATTTATAAGAAATAATATGTTTTTACTTACCGTAATACTATTACTAACTTCTCTTCAGGCTTAATACTGTTCTGGAATCGTGTATCTTTTCATTATAAAGGTTTTTAAAATGCTCAGTAATTCTTCAAATGTTTTTAGACTCATTCTAGTATATCCAAAAAACTTATCGCCATATTTTTTAACTTCTTCGAAAAATACCTAAAAGTGCTTTGTTTCTTCTCGTGTTTGCAAAAAATGAAGTACCCAGTACTTCTTTTTTCTCTTTTTTTTTCTTTATATAACGAGCGTAGATGTAATAAACAGCTGCGACTTCTTCCATCTCCATATTTGAAATGATTTGTCTGGCCGCAATTGATAGCGGTTTTGCAACCGGATCTGCGGCTGTAAATGCGACTACCCGCAATGCGTTTACTTGCAGGTTCAACCGCATACTACGGTCAATCGGACGGCTGGTCGCATTACGGGTACCCGTTTAGTGCGTACGTGCCCTTAGTGTATTCATTATTTGCAAAGTTGTGCCAAGTTATTCAAATATCCCTAATTATGCAATTTTTTACCTTTTTTCTAACCAACATTTTCATTTGAAATTTTTTTTTTATCAAAAACCCATAATTACGACTTGTAGAGAATGCTTTGTAGTTTTCAAAACCCTGCTTGGATTTTCTGTACGGCCATTATTTCCTGAGTTAGTAATTGATAGCCAAAGTAAAAAATTATTTTTTTTGCTTTTATCGACGATAACTCAGCGACAAATAATCATAGAAGGCTCCGGAACCACTGAAATTAAAGAGAATTAAATTATCTAAAACAGCTTTATGACGAAATTACCAAAAAAAATTCCATAGTCCATAGGCCTTTTTAAAGAGCAAAAATTTACATTTTATTTTCCGTTGATTTTCTTATGATTACTCAAAAACTGCTGACACTAAAAAATTTTAAACTGCAGATCTGAAAACTAGACACTTGAAGCTTCAATTTCCTTTTTTTTCTCTACGATCATTTCCTTCCAAGTTACAGCTCTTTGAAAATCCCCCAAAATTTTGAGTTAAGGTGGCCATATTTCTGGCAAAAAATGACCCGTATTTGTAGTGATTTTAGGTACTGAAATCTCAAAAAATAGAGCAAGAAGAACAAAACTAAATGAAAAATAGAATCCTTAAACTTTTGTTTATACATTCTTACCATTTAAAAGTTGCTAATATATTATTATAACTTTAAAAACACGTTTTTAAGACTCACCTTTGTTGCTAACCTAATGTCACATCTTAACATGGATTTTCTCATGCATATAAAACAAAAGTAAACAATTTTATATGCAGCACTAAGTAAGTTTATGTCATACGAATATTTAGGTGTACAGAAAAATATAAAAAAGTAGTTATTTTGACAAATTTCTGTACCTAAAAACATATCGGCATTTTTACATAAGGTTCATTATCTCACAAACTTCATCTGGTTCATTGTCTAGAAATCTGTCAAGATAATAAAAAATGTACTCAATTTTATGATAGAATAGTTCATCATCCTATTAAAAGGTGACGGTAAAGTCAATTTCTATTACACAGGGAGCCAAATTTTGCAATCAAATATTCTGTTGAAAATTAGTTTTTAACATAGGTATTTAGTTTTCTAAAAAGAAGTTTTGAGACTACTGTTACCACTTCTATTCAATTAAATACAGGGTAATTTAGAAATACAAGGAAAAAAATTAGTTACAGTCTACTTACGTGAGAAATTTTTTTATCCGTATTTTCTGGTTTCTTGATTTATAATTTTTGTAGGCCCTGCGGCTCCTTGAAATTGACCCTAAAATTTCGTTTTGAGCAAATATCTCCGAAACCGTAACCCGTAAAAAAGACAATAAACGTGTGGAGACCAATTGATAAAGTTTTAACAAATGTTTTCTTCCTTTAATGTTTAATTTATACAAAAAATCTCAAGTTTATGATACTATCTTTAGAAGATAAACGGATAATTGAAAATTTTTTAAATTACATAATTTCTTAAAATCCTTGAGAGAATAAGGTGACAGCGAAATCACGAATTCACAACTATCACTCAATCTTTTGAATTATCTTCACAGCTACCATTTACATTTTATGAATTTATACTTTTTCAAGTTTGTCAATGGTAGTACACTGCATCTTTAGCAACGTTTTCTGTAAAATTAAACTTCAAATGAAAAAGTAAAGAATAAAATTCAAATACATGGAAAAACTATTGTATTAATAATGTTCATATAGACTATCTACAACCCCATATAAATTTTATTAATGTCGCCTTTACGTTTTCGAAGATATTTGCAAAATACAAATAGTTGTAAGCCCAATTTCAAGGGGCCCAAAAAAATAAAACATAGGGAAAACAAAAAAATACGGTCGAATAATTTCTCACGCAGATTATATACCCAATTGTTTTCCTAGTATTTCTCAACTACTCAGTATATTTAGATATTTTCTCCTAGTAGTTTGTGAAAAATTTGTTGTGCATAAAAAAATTGTGTAAACGTCAAGCAGAGAAACAAATGATTGAAAATGTGAATTTGCTTTCTAATAGTGATGGTATTTATATAACGTAACAAAAACAAAGGAATACAAATAGACTATAGGCATGTTATCTTTTATTTTCGAGTAAAGAACGCCAAAAATAATTTATTAAATATTACTCATATAAGAGGGTAATTCAAAAATTTCCAAACAAATTTCTCAATCTGTTAATAAATTACTCAATTGTTATTTAAAATATTTATTATTAAATATTGTAAGAGTTGAATAATAAAGAGCAAATATAAATACATTCATTATATAATTCTATAATTTTACATTTATTATATTATATTATTCGATAGTAGTAAATAATTAAAGTCGGCACCATATGGGATACTTTTTTATTATTGGTTATATTAAAAAAAGTTAATCTTGATAAACTGCATGGCCTAAAACCCAAAATGAAATAATCAGATTTCAATTTTTTCCAGTCGTATACGAGGTTTGTCGAAAAATGTAAATTTTGTCCAAGAGTAAAGTACCTTTATTTTTTACAATATCGACAATCGTTATTAAGAAAAGTTTATCCTAATATAAAACTACGCTCAAGTATCCAATATTATCCATCTACCATTAAAAAACGGATTCTGTTATTTTTGTAAAAATAACTTCTCTAAATTGCCATCGTCAATTTACGTCTAGAGATCGAAATAAATATATAATGCATTGACGAACAAATTAATTCAATACAATAAATGTTTTATGATTTGCAAAATTAAATTATATTTTTTTTTGTTTATTTCATATTATATTGGTACCCAAAAATTATTAAAGATTATTTTTAATGGTAGATGGACAATATTGGATATCTGACCGTAGTTTTCTATTACGATCAACTTTTCTTAATAACGATTGTCGATATTGTAAAAAATAAAGGTACTTTACTCTTGAGCAAAAACATTTTTCAACAAACATCGTATACGATGCAAAACACAAATACAGTACCTACTACAAAATACACAAAAATATAAGTATCTAAGTCCAAATCACTAAGCACACAAACACTAATAACTAACCACTTTCACCGCAAAATATAAAATGGGACTGACAATGATATTGAAATTTAATATACCTACCCAAAGTAATAAATACCTTCCTAGAACTCGCGCCCCGTCCCCTTATCGCACTTGGATGCAAGTGTTATAAATTCTTTAGGACAAGGGCCGAATCGCATGACCTTCAATTCCGTTTCGGCTACCTGTTATTTACTGTACTTTAATTCTAACATTCTTCAAATATTTGCAATTCGCGTTATCTCCGCTAGGCACCAGCACTTCCTGGGATGTAAATTTATATCATTGTCTGTCAGCGATTGAGGTACTTTCTTATTTAGAACATGGCAACCTTAATTTCTATGCCTAGTGTATTTGGAATTATTCAATTTCGTGGCTGGAAACATACATAGGTATTGAATTTTCGCAACCGAGAGGAATGCATTAACCAAATTTGGACAGGGCATAGCTAACACAATGCGAAATGTCGCTTTCCTGTTAAAAATATTGTCGTCGCCGGCCATTCTGGTATGGTGAAAATTCGAAATATATGCGTGACTGAAAACATACATAGGCCTTGAATTTTCGAAACCGAAAGAGCTGCGCTAACCAAATTTGGACAGGACATAGCTAACACAATGCGAAACATCTCTTTACTGTGAAAATTGTTGTCACTGCCGTTCTTGGTGATGAACATTCGAAATATTTGGAATTATTGAATTTTCGCAACCGAGAGAGATGCACTAACCAAAGGCGAGCGCGCCAACACTGCCTGCAGAATACATAGGGGGTTTCAGTAAAAACGTCAGAATAGAGAATTGAAGTAGAACCGCAACAAAACGTATGTGAGTATTTTGCAAAAACTCTACTCAATATTTACCGAATTTAATAGGATTCTTTCCATATTTTTCTAAGTGTGATACTTAGGTAGGTACCTAAGAAGAAGAAAGACGAGTTATGATGAATATTAGTTACCAAACGATTTTCTTGGCTCACTCTGAACCACTATCTGACAGTTTTTTTATCGAACGCGATGTCAACGTCTATCAGATGGCTCGTGTAATTCACAACGTACTAAATTTCAAGAAGCCCCCTCTCTCTCAATTTATCTCTACGAAAACCTCCATCAAACTACCCTACGAAATACCAGAAAGATACCAGAACGCCTTTTACTTGGCCAATGCCTCTTTTTACGACAGTACAAACTGGTTCCTGCACAGGGCATACGAAGTTGTTTTTCCAAAGTTGAAGAGTGAACTGTTAAAAGTAGATTCTTATAAAAATCAAACTACTGATAGAGCCACTGAAAAAATCGAAGAGATTATTAAAATTTTAGATCAGTGCAACTCGATCATTGACGTCAGGTTCCCTGTCAAACGCGATAATGGGTTGCAAGAAATTATAAGGGGTTTCAGGGCGCAACATGGGCTGTCAGCGGGGTATTCGTCTTGTTTAGGAGGTAGGTACACGGAAAAAGTGTTAGTTTAAATGAAAAGGAGACTATTTCATGATTTTGAAATGTTAAGTGACCTTTTGGCTACTCCTCTGGTCTGGTTCAATGTAGACATTAGTATCACCAATGAATTTTAAAACAAAAAAAAACAATTTTTGGACTAGCGACGATGCAATAAAATTTCAGTGCTGATTGTTCCACCAAAACAGAAAATGTGGGGGTAAGCAGAGAACGCATTAGGCGGTCGTGGTCCCGTCGCACCGCGGTCCGTTCTGTGCTCAGATGATCGCGGTCTTTTACAAAATCAGTCGCATTTGGCAATTGGACACAACCTGTTAAATAGTGGCGGTGTTGTTTTAATAGTTAAGAAAGTTCTATGGAAGAGGAAGCTCCTCTCGATCGCATCGCGGTCTTGCGAGATTCTTTGGAAAAGATCGGAGGAGAACGCGAAGCGAGCGAGACGAGCTCGGGAACGTCTAGTGCGAATGCATACATTATAAAACATGGGAAGGAACTCCGCCGCGCGCGATCGAGACTAGCACGGTGTAATGTGTTTTCTCCTTAACAATTTCTCCTAAAAATGACCCCTAAAGGATTCTGTGATACTTCAAAGATTGAATTACAAATAACGATAAGAACTTCATGAATGATGTTATTTGACAGAAGATTTGGTGCACTGCACTTGTCTAAAAATACAATTCTTTGGTTTGAGATATAAAAGAAAATGTAAGAGATCATATTTAAATTTGGCATTCGGACCTATATTTTGATTTGAAGCAACTTTTTTTAATAACTTTTTAACGTATGTTACTGAAAAGCTACTATCTTGGAAAAAATAAAAAAAATTGTAAAATTATAGTTGACCGAGGATGCTTGAAATTATGTTAGAAATTAATCTTTAATGAAGCAGGAGACACACTGTATATGTCGTAATAGACAAAAACTTGAGAGAACACAGAATAGTTATTATTTACTATCTCATTTAAAAATCATATGAGAATAATTTTCACAGGTTTACGAATTCACGAGAACATAACAAGAGACCATATGAAGGGTTTGGCAGTTTTGTCCACGTATAGAAACGCCTGTATGGGGATAAACATGGCTGGTGCTCATGGAGGTATAAAAATATGTCCAAAGAACTATTCTCCAGACGAACTACAACGTATTGTCGAACTGTATTGTACGGAGCTAATCAAAAAAGGATACAGTACGTTATTTAATCAAAACATAATTTTTTTAAGTACCTACTATAACAGGGTAAAAAATGTGTAAATCTTAGGTATCGATATCAAAAAATATGTATGTATGTATTTTTTGTCTAAAGGTTGCGAAAGGGATGTTGCTCAGCCTGATATAAATACTTCGCAGAGAGAAATGACATGGATTAACAAAACCTTTACTAAATATACGGGTAAGTAACTTAAACATATCGTATTCTTAATCTTGCCCAAATCGTCAAAATTTTATTAAACACGGTTTTTTACCTCCTAATAAAATTATTTACCTATCAAATTTATATAAAACAGGTATGTATAAGGAAGTTTGAAACAGAATAATTATTGATCTCGGATTTTTCACAGAGCAGAGACAAACTAACTACATACTCCAGTCGAATTAGAGTTTGAACGTGAATAAATTATTAGCGGACATTTGTACATTATGACAGGGAAGGGTATGTAGAATGATAATATCAAAAAGGTAACTCGAAAGAAGTAACGCTATGTTGGAAAATTGCAAATAAGTGTTTGTTGTATGTTTTTTCACTTTTTTACCGCCCACGAATATCTAGACATTTTATGTTGTAGGTAATTAAATTACCTACAATTTAAGGTATCTAAAGTCATAGTTCACCAATTTATTAACTGTAAAATCAAGATTGAACATGGAAAAATAAATTTTCCAAAATTGCGCATTATTATTGCAAAAAGCGATGGATGTTGATGAAATTTATGGAAAAGACGGTCAATCCAAAGACCAACATGTATGCCAAAGGCCGATTCGATTGACCGTGAAATTGTTGCTCCAGGTATTTGTTAATTTCGTTCGTTTTTTGCAACTAATTGTTTAATCACTAAACGTCAATTTTAGAAGTTAAAATCGTAAATATAAGTTCTAATTAATCTAAAGAAATGTATCGACAAAAGAAAAATTTCAATAAGTTGAAATTAAGTAACTCTTTACAACTAACAAAGTAGGACGATATAAACAAATAATTATCCCAGGGTCAGGCAAAAGCCGCTCGGAAATTCGCTCTTTTTGCATCAAATAGAGCTTATTTTTACGGTTATTTTTAAAAAAAGAGAAATCACATACCTCTTTAAGATGGCTTTTTTATATATAACGTTAATTGTTAATTAATTATTGGACGTATCGTATCGGGATTCTAGAAACAATTAAAGAAAGAGCTAAACTTTCATTTCCAAAAAGTTTTACATTGATAGTTTATGTAATAAATGCGCTTAGTGAAAAATAACTTTAGGTACCTTAAATTGCAGATAATTTAATTGCCTGCAACATAAAACAACTAATATTACGATAGGTCGTCTAGATTTTCGTGAAAACAGCGAAAAAAAAATTTAAAAAACACGTAAATTTACCATTTATTTTAATTTCGTCAACTTAGCGTTACTTTTTTGATATTATAATAATTCTACATACCTATTTATCCCCGTCACAAAGTGCAATCAAATGTCTATAATATTTTTTTCAAGTTTTTTGATCTACCTAATTCGATTGGAGCAACAACCAAACCCGATCGTGATATCATTCTGACCCGGTTGTGACGCCACAGCTCTACCACAGCCACCTTGTGTACAGGAACATAAAAATATATGTGCAGGGTGTAACTAAAATGACTTAGTAGTTGATTCTAGATCATAAATTTTCAAATATTTTCCTGTAGACATACCCGGAATTCTTTCGTTTTCAAGATATATGGGTTGTAAAGTTTAAAAAAAATGTTTTTAAACTTAACTTACTTAATTTCAATCATATGACGAGCGATTTCATTCAAATCCGGCTTTAGTCTTTGATCGTTCAGGAAAGTAGGACATAGGGATATAGATCAGGAGATGGACATAATAATTTTCGCTCAGATTGTTTTTCTTCAAAATATTTATTTCAAAACAGATTCATCTTTCTATTGCGATAGTACACTAGCTTCCCAAAACTATGTTCTTGTATTTTGATATAATGAAAATGATTCAGGTACTCGTCATGGGTATAAAACAAAATGTGTACTGCATTCTGTTTTATACCATCTCCAAATGAAAAGATCTAGAGGGTCCATATTGAAACTTCACGCTGACCAATGCACAGGTCCATTATGTCCTATTCAACTAAGTGGAATATGAGTGTGTATAAAGTCACAATCAGTTCGAGAAACATGCGGAGAAGCACCGTCGAACATGAAAATTTTGCTTGTACGCGTATGTAACGGAGGATCGTATATAAAAATCATTTGCAGTCAAAACACAGTGCATTGTATCCAGTTGATCAGTTCAATAAGTGGAGCGATACAGGTCGGCCTAAGTTTCGTGAAATAATTCATGATTAGTTTTCTTGAAGACATGACACACCTTAGATCACAGATTGCTCAATGGAAATTGTTTATTTTCACGTCCTCTGTTACCCCTTTAAAGGAAAGCATTTATTTCAGAAACACCCTGTTCACGTGTTTTATTTTGAACAACTTGTATATCTAAAACAACGAACTTTAACATGATGTTTATAGAAATTTTTATTTCTTAATTTAATTAAAGTTTTGTAATATTCGAAATATTACTTTGCTTTGTTTGTTGTTGCTTTTAGGACAGAGTCTTAACATGGCATCGGCAGGAAAATCTAGCGATTATGGTGGGATTGAGAACCACGAACAGATGTCTTCCCAAGGAGCATTGTACGCTATAAATTTCTTTTTGAACAACGAACAGATCATGAATAAAGTTGGATTGACGACTGGGATCCAAGGAAAAACCTTTATCATACAAGTAAATGCACAGTGGTTCATAACATTAATATATTTATTGATTATATTCGGATTAAGGGTGACAATTGCGTAAAAAAAACTATCAAAATTCAAAAGAGTTGGGTAGTGTTGCGTTACTGATTCTTACATTTGAATTTTCCAGGGGCTTGGAAAACTAGGAGCTCCACTAGCTGAGTTACTCGTCAACGGGGGTGCTATCTGTGTGGGAGTTAAAGAACAAGACGCCTACCTTTATGATGCTAAAGGAATAAATCTCAAAGTAAGGATACTTAGTTTTCTCTAAGAGCAATATCGTATAAATCAGCCTACATGTTTAGGAACTGTATGAGTACAAGGCGAAAAATGGCTCGATAGTCGACTACAGCATGACTAAACCTTACGAAAACGACAGTATCTACACAGAGGAGTGCGACATCCTCGTCTTCGCCGCCTACCACAAAAGTTTGGTATGTCATATCGCCAAGGACGTAAAGGCCAAGGTTGTCGTAGAAGCCGCAGACGGTCCCTTGACACCTACATCGCACAGGATCCTCACAGGAAAGTCTAAGTTGGTGATACCCGACATCTACGCTTGCTCTGGAGCGACGGTGGCGTCCTATTTGGAATATTTGAGGAATATGCAGCAGATGAGAGTTGGTGATCTCTTGAGGTTTGCCGCGGTTTATGATTACTTATTTTTAATAACTTTGTAGCTTTTAAAGTATAATAGGTACCTACTTATTCTAGATTTTCTCGAAATGTATATGAAAATATTTTAAATCGTCTCTCTGAAAAACATGACAAAGTAGCAGCAGCTGGAGGTTCGGTCCAGATCTTATCCTCTCAAGATGATCCAAAAATCATTACAGAATCCATAGAATCTATTCTAACAGATACTGGCAATGTAAGTACATCATTACGTAATAATAATGCTGCCTAATGCGGCTTTTTGTCCATTAAATCCAACTTAATGGTTAAAGCCTGTATATGCAGTAAATTAATTATATTGCTATAGAAACGCTTCATATGCTAGCTGATATACAGGGTGGCCAAATGAAAACGAAACAGAGCCATTTTCAAGAACTGTGTCAAGATTATAAAAAAACGCTCAGACCCGTCGATTTTAGATTAAAGAAGGACATTCTTTGCTGGTATTTTTGACTCCGCCACTTTCACCCCCAAGCAAGGGTGAGCATCACCCCAAAATATTTAAATGGCATTGGGGGTTGAGTTATATTTCTTTTGAAAGCTCTTACAATTCTCTTTACAACAGACTTTAAATTCTATAATTCCGCCCAATACTTATTAAGAATTTTGATTTTAAAGTTGAAACTTATGTACAAACAATTAGTAACGGTAAAAATGTCAGTC